CAAGGGTCCGGCACGATACCGCGAGAGTCCAGCAACTCGTACTCGGTTACACCGAGTTCGGAGGGCCTTTTGGGGGAACTCCCCAGGGTTAGCGCGATATTGTCTTCCACTACAGAGGGGTCCGCGGGACACTCTTCTCCTGGTAGAGGAGGAACTCTAAGCTCCGGGAAGTGCACTACCGTCTTCGGCGCGTCCTGCCACGAGAACTTCTTCGTCGCGGTCCCTCCACCTTCATCGCGGTAATTGGAGTCGGCCGACGTCACAGAGTTGATCCGTACTGGCTTTTCCTCTTTGAAATTACGGTTGGTTCGCTTTGCTTCTCCGGACGAGGCCAGCGTCTTTTGGAACCATTCCAACCAGAACTCAGGAGTAGATAGCCGACCGGGGGAAGAAGCTTGGGTCTTCGCTAGTCGTTCTTCGGGAATGCCTAATAAGTCACTCAGCTCGGCAAGAGACAACTCCTTCGACAGTTTCGCATTCTCGACTAATCGGCGCCTTAGTTCCACTTCATCGAGAGGAAACAGTCGGTCTTCGAGATCTTTGTCATACTCTTCTCTTTCTTCAATTAGCTCGGATGGCTTACCTTCTTCCAAAGTATCTAGTTCTTTTTTGGTGTACACCCTCGCGATGGAAGGCTCCTTCTCCGGTTCATCCTTTGGGGACTTAGCACTGGTAACGTCCTCAGAGTTCTTTTCGGAGGCGTCGTTTCTCTCAGGAGTGGGTCACGTCTTTCTCCTGCTCGCGTGGTTCCGCCTTTGATACTGGAACATTAGCTTCGGTAGTTCCATATTCTCCTCGGGTAGGGCTTTTGAGTACCTCCGTCACGTCCGGGAGTAATTCCTCATGTATAGGGCAGTCATTGGACTCACCCTTCTTCTCGTCTTGATCGAGCACGCTCGAAACCACACTCTTGTGGCTCGTAGACGTCGACGGTTAGTCTTGTTCCGCCGAGGACGCCAGATGCTGCAGCTCTTCCGTTTCTCCTTCCTTGCTTAGTTTTTCGTTCGTCGTTTCGATTTCGCTCTCTTGGTCATCTCTCGTAATCACTCTTAGGTTCGTATTGGAGCGTTCGTCGACGTGCGCAGCTATTGCGGAACCGTCCCATACGGGTCCCGAGCCTACCTCTTTTACAATTGCTTTTTTCTCCGTCCTCCAACAGTCGTTAGTGTTTGAGACTTCCGATACCCCGTTCCACACGGGCGCCGTACGTCCTTCATGCGCAAACGGTAGTATTTCTTCAGTTCTCGTCATATGTTCGTTGCTTACGTTCGTTTCATTTCTTTTCGGTAAGGCGGAACTCATCCCACCTCCAACGGGACACACTTCATACCTCTTGGGCGACTCCTCCGCGGAGTTCAAAGTGTTCCCATTTGTGTCGATCCATAGACAAGAGGAAGGAGCGACACTCCCTTCCCTTCCCTCTCGCCCCCATCATTGCTGGTTGGGCGCTTATCCTAGGCCAGGTCCCACCGTTGCCCCAGCCGGACCGCCAAGTCTCTTCAGCGACGTCTTTAGAGGGCACTCCGCCAATATGTGACCCGATTCATCACACAGGAAGCACTTGCGTCCGTTCCTCGGCTGGGTGTTCCGAAATCCGCTAGGAGGGTCACGTTCACATTCAGGACCGATGTGGCCCACTTCCTTACAGTGAGGACAGGTGGCTTTGCCGCGGCGACAGTGAATTCGACTACACCCCAGAGTGTGACACCGACCGCACACGAGAAGACCATCTTGAGCACGCAAGTCCGGACCCACACGAACGCCCCTGATAGGCGTAATAGGAAGCGTTCCGGTAGGCTGGTAGTGCAGAGAGGGGTTCGGATCAAGAGGAGAGTAGGCAGCAGCTACATTCATCGCCGGGGAAGCATAGGCGGTCGTCAGGGGACGCTCCATCAACCGCTGTTGCTGTTGAAGCTGTTGCTGTTGCCGCTGAGCGAGTAGATTCTGCGTCTGCTGCATCATGTTCATCATGCGTTCGGGGACAGCGTTTTCTTGGGAAGCTTTAGGGGACGGCACATTGTCGAACTCGGAGTCGTCTTCAACTGGGCGATGCATATTCTTCAGGAGCAACATGGCCACAGCCGCAGGGATGGAGTCAATCATTGTCGTGGTGAGAGCGTTCCTCCAATCTCGGTTCCGAAGCCCAGACAAGAAGTACTGGTAACGCATCTGAGGATCGTAGCACTGAGCATCATCGCAGAGGCTTGAAATCATATCGCCCCACACTTCGGCGGACATTCCCCTGGGTCGCTTAGTGTTCTTAAGGTTCTCAATCAGTTGCAACGGGGTCTGACTGATGAACTGGTTGTGGAACCGAGTCCTCAGAGCTTCAAAGCTGTTGATGCGCGGGTACATCCACCAGTCTTCACCGACCTTGCCTTTCAAGCACTCCCGGAAAGCGTTAAGTCGCAGGGGTTCGTCCAGCCCGATTGTGGCGTTCTCGAAGGCCTACCAGAAGGATCGAGCTTTCTATACCGACGCTCCTTCCGAGTAAAAGGGTTGGATCATGCGGAAAGCGTTCCGGATGTTAGTGGGCATACCATACTGGCCACTAGTAGTCGAAGGCGTATTACCATACGTAGGCGAGGCGTAGTAGGAGTTACCGCCATATTCTCCACCCTAATGGGTTCCGGCAGAAACCGTAGTTCCCCCGTTTCCTCGTGAAGCTCGGGCTGTTCCCGTAGGGTCGACTCCGTACGCGATTCCACTGGTAGTCGAAATTCGAGACCCCGGGCCTTGTGTAGGAATTCGAACGGTGGGCGATGAGGCCAGGAAAGGAATACGCTGAGGAACGGGAACGGTTTCTACTGGAGCGTTCTCCCCGCCACCTCGCAAGTTACCAGAGGGCGGGAGACCCCAAGGAGGAGCGTTAGAGGTCCTCGGAGGAATACGTGCCGGGGAAGCACGTCCACCGTTTTCAGGGACAGTCGGTAGAGAGAAGAACGGGTTGAAGTCCTGCCCATATGACGTATTCGGGGTTCGGATTGTGAAACCTTGGTATGACGGGATTGCAGTCCTCACTCGAGTCGTAGGAGGGGGAGTCCCCCACGAGACCGTTCCCATCAGTTCTCTCCATAGCGGCGGCAATCTCAGGAGGAGCCACGGATATCAACCAGTTGAGGGAGTTGAGCCAACCTTGCACCGTACATCTGCCGCCGCCGCCGTCCAGGGTCAGCATTGGGCCCAACTCTTCCGTAGTGAAGGTCGCAGGGACCCCGGAGGATAAAGCGTCCGCGGGTGGCTCGACACCAGCACTAGAGCTGTTCCCTCCAAGTCGGTTAGCCGCTTGGTCTACGATATTCTGTACGTTTTGGAGGCCTTGCGTAGTCGACAGACTGGGTCTCATTCTCGAAGGCAGACTCCCAGTCGGGCCTTCTTCTTCCCGGATAGTGGCGCTCTCATCTTCTCTGTTGCTAGTAGCCGACATCTTGTCCTTCCTTCTGACGTTCTCCACGAGGCTTACCCTGCTTCTACACCAGATGTCGTATACCTCCTCTTCCTTCAAGGGTCGGGTAGTCCGCGGCTGTTCAGGGAGTACGGTCTTGTTCAGTGGCTGCAGGAACGGTAGATAGGAACACTAGAGAGTTGAAAATAAAAGTTTGTTTGATTGGCTTGGCTTCCTCTTGAGTAGAAGGAGGGAAATATAAGACTGAGAGCTAACCGGAAGAAAGGTCTAACACCTTGTCGATCTTACATACACTACACTACATATCAAAAAAAGAAAGGATTCACTTCGTTTGTTGTCGGCCTTCGTTGGACAACGGAGAGCTTCTGCGAAGGGGCTTGATGTCGCGAGGTATTTTTGGTCCCACGACGCCAAGAAACCGGCGTTCTGGGGTCCCCTTAAAGGACCACCCTAACGGGCTCGGTCAGGGGCACGTGCGTTGTTGGGTTCAACGGGAACCATTCTGACGGGACAGCTGGACGAGGAGTGATTCCAGGGTCTCGAGTCATCCCGACGGGAGGCAGAGCTCCTGGAATGACCCCTCCGTTCCCGGGTACGGGACACCAACGCCAAATATCAAGTCAAAACAGCTAACTTCTGATCCATCTTCACTATTCCATTAAAAGCTCCAGCTCTCACTTGTCAAATGTATTTAATGACTTTAACCATACTTAGTAGTACATGCGGTATTACTTTGTACAAGTCTACGTCTATGCACCACTGAAACAAATTTCAATATCAGCGCAGTTCCATTCAAGCCCAATAATTTAGCCTATTTCATCATGTGTATCCGGTCGTATACTAATAATATTAGTATACGACTGGATCTGCGACCTTATATGTTGAGGTCGCAAATGGCTGACGTACCATATAGCCCAGTACACGGCACAAGTGATCCAAAGATCAGAGCGATGCAATGCGCGAAGAATCACTCGTCCAACGTGAAAACCCACGCCAAAACAGCGAGTTGTCGACCGATCTCTACTATTCCACAAAAAGCTCCAACTCTCACTTGTTAAATGTATACTATGATTTTACCTATAGTTAGTAGTACACGCGGTCCTATTTTGTACATCTCTTTATACACCACTTATACAAGTCGTTAAATAAGTTCAGTTCCATTCAAGTCGACGTGAGTAGTGGTACATCGTATTTTGAATGTCGTGGTACATCGTACTGAATGTGAAGTGGTACATCGTAAGTAATGCTCAGTCGTTCGTACTTAATGTATATCGGTACATCGTACTTAGTGTGTAGTGGTACATCATACTGAATTTGAAGTGGTACATCGTAAATAATGTTCAGTCATACATCGTACTTAATGTATATCGGTACATCGTACTTAGTGTGCAGCGGTATATCGTATTAATGTTAATTAGTACATCGTATTTTGTGCTTAGTGGTGCATCGTTCCTGATGTGCGGTAGCACAACTTTCTTGATATATATAGTGGTACACCGTAATTTGTGAGTAGTGGTACATCGTATTCTGTGTGTCGTGGTACATCGTACTTATTGTGTAGTAGTACATCGTACCTAATGAATGGTGGTACGCCCTACTTTGACATGACCAGTACATCGTACTTTGTGAGGATGGCTACCTCGTACTTTAGGCTTGGATGAACAGAACGAGTTTTCATTCGCTAATATACCGCTTATGCGTCGATACTCCAAGAAGAAAATCATCACCTTGTAGCCGCGTTTCAGAGCTTGGGGGCCATTGCGGAAATGTTCTGCCTCATACCTGAGGGCAAATAGAACCATAGCACAAGTTAACAAGTTCATAAAGCCTGACAAACAATTCGACGGGGGAATATGTCCTACTTACAATCACCGCAAGTCTGATTGTGCGGTAAGAGAATGATTTTGGAATGAAGTGAGGCCGCGGTAGGCGCGAACCTTCGTGCCTTCGAATCGTTTGAAGATACGCTTTTCAACTTCAATTTCAAGAAATGTGCTAGTTAGGGGAATCGCTTAATCATATACAAAAGACAAATTACTTTTTAATTAGTTGCTAAATAGGGGTGCGTGATTAAAGCGGATAAAACGGGATAGATAAAACGGGAAGAATTATCACGAAGGTATTATCACCGTTTTATCTACCCTAACCCCAGTGCTAAATTTTTACGGGGGTTATGAAAGGCACCCAATGGCACATTATCAAGAGCTTGTTCAGGGCATTTGTCTCGCTCAAGAGAAATCAGGGAGCTCCGAGCCTAATCCCGACAGCATTTTGGCGGAAGCATTCAAGTTGCGGTACCAGTTTGCGGCAATTCCAGAGAATCAACGAAAGCTTTGACGGAACGAAGATCCTCTCGGTGACTCACGGATGTCAACTGCAGAAAAACTAAAAGGATTCAAACCTGACTCCCCTGTTGCTTCGTCTCAAACGTCACCGCGTATACGCTGCCCCTCATTTCACAGCTACTACGCAACTTTTGAGGAGCTGTCCGACCGAGCTGGGTCAGCAGCTAAGGCGGCGTCTAGCGACAAAACGGACGACACATTGCTGACACCCCGCAGTGCGACGCCGGCTAAATACGTTCACCTATATCTATTGGATGATATACGAACAAAGCAGCCATGGAGTTTTGGTCGAGCCAATAACGATGACTTAATCGTGGAGCAAAATAGTGTCACTATAGGCCATGGCAACTCGGAGGAAGGCATTGAAAGCATTGTCGAGCCGTTTTGACGAAGATCGCATCTACACGTACGTCAACCACCACACGATGATCGTGATGAACCCGTACCGGTTGCTACAGACTGCTCGATTCACGTCAATTTACGACGAGCAGGTTGTACTCACTTACGCTGACACGGCAAATGCTGAGACAGTACTGGCTCCGCATCCATTTGCTATCGCGATACAAAGTCTAGTTCGACTTTTCTTCAATAATAGGCGCACAGGTGGTAATTCGTCGTTAGCTTCGTCGACACTGAGCAACCGTACTATGGCTGAGGGTCGCGGGCAATCCCTTTGTCTTTGCGGTGGGAGTGGTAAGACAGAACTTGCCAAGGACTTGCTTAAATACCTCATACTTGTGGCTAGAGCTGTCGACGTCCGGTGTATTCGAAGATTTACACCTCGACATCCAGAAAATGCAAACGACGTAAATAATACACCCCTTCGACAACTACCAATGAATCACTTATCCGCATTAAGGTGCTGCTGTTTGTTGAGAGCAACCTCACCAAATCTGGCGTTTTTGTTGAGCAACTTGTTGATCCTCCATGGCCGTTCGAAGCTGCCAATCCATCGATTGGTACAGACCCTCAGAGGAACGTCCGATGCGCACGTCGCACAGCAGCAAGCAGGGACTGACAGAAGCTCGTACCTGGGCATCAATTTTTGCTTCGCGCTGGTTCGTGCATTCGAGTGCTTGCTGTCATCAGGTCGACGTTCCGATGACCGCGTGGTCGAAGCTGACCGACAAAAAGGTGCACGAGTTTGACACCAAATCAATTTAGCGGTACTGGATTGGCGCTGAAGATGTCCAAGGAGCTGTGAAAGAAGTTTGGGCGCTTGTATGACCACGGAGCCTGCTAATAGTAAACACCTCGGTGGTGTAGGAAATACCAAGCCCGTCTCTGATACTGGCTAAAAGCATGTGAAGACGGTTATATCCTGCTTGGCGTCGGAGTGCAATTACCTGGCTAATGTGGAGAGGACACCGAACACTAAGTAATGGTGCCGTCTCGCAAGGTTTTGATTTGCAAGTAAATATTCTTACGCTCCTGACGTCCCGTTCGCTTTGGGAGATTTAATCTCTGACGACGAGGGCATGGGAAAGGCTGACATTTAATGCTGTGAAGATCCCGATTCAAATCTCCAATTTGCGGTGAAGTCATGGCAGAAATAGCCAAACAGTTATTTCGAAGTACCGGGTAACATTATTATTGCTCTATGTGTGCTGATTCGATTTAGGAGTACATAAAGGTCAATTGCAAGCTCGACCTGACTTTGGTTTACTCGTTTCGGGGCATCGCTTTTAAATCACTTGCACACCATTGCAATATAACCCTGTCAGCGATTTGAAACGGAAACTCAACAGCGCAAGTACAAGTAGTCATCATGTATTAACTGATATCATTTTCACTACTTAGTCGCAACTTAGGCCATAGAAGCATCTGGCCTGCTCTCAAGCTAGCTCTTCTCTTTTCGCTTTAGCGTACTTATCGTCCGCGACGCACACGTCGAGCTGATAATACGCCTTCTCTCTTTGGTTAGACACCGGGAGAGTCCGTCCCGCTGGACACTGCGTCACCTTGGTTAGTGCTGGATTCTTTCGACTTGCTCGGGAAACGGACGCCTCTACACCTTTACCCGCTCATTTTTGGCTTCATTCAACATCCAAAGTTGGCAGCTTTAATTATTGTTCATTTTTTGACGGAGCGAGGCACCCGAAATAAGCAGTACCACTATCCTTAGTGCAATCAAAGCTGGCTAATCCATACTCAAAGTCGGCATGCTGTACTCTTCTTCTCCCAACAGATCCACCTACTCGCCGTACACCATGTCCTCGAAGCGAATTGCGGCGTTGACGAACTTCGCAGCATGCAACTCCATCTTCTGCACCATGCGTTGCATGATCTTCGGCATGTTCACGTTGCCGGCGCGTTCGAGAATGCGCATGCGCGCCTCGGTCTTCGTGTTCGGCTTGCCGTCGCTGATTAGCACGGGCGCCAAGATCTCCTCCCTAGCAAGAGCTAGGTACTGCTTGATGTGTGCCTTTAGGGAACTGAAGCAGTTCTCTATCGGGTTACACCTTGGTCTATAGGGTCCCAAGCGTAGCCGGACGAGGTCGTCGTGGGCAGGCACGAGCTCTTCCGTGCGCCAGTGGGCCGGCGTGTTGTCGAACACGACAACAATGTTCTTGTTCGTGTAGTCGGTGGCGCACACCCCGACCCTTTCACCACCTTGTACAGCTCCTCCACGAAGTCCGCGTTGTCCTGCATTTTGATGCTGCCCGCTTGTTGCGGTACGCTATCACGCCATAAGCAGAGGAGACTGCGCACTGAATCTGCAGGCTGGGTCCTTTTGAAGGCGGAAGCTTTTCGATCGCGCGTTTGCCCTTCTTCGCCCTGCCACGCGACCGCTTCACGTAGTGACTGTAGTTAGTTTCGTCGAAGTAGATAATCAACGGCACCTGCTTGGCCAGAGCCTCGGCAAACTTCTTTCTTTTCTGTTTGTTGACCTCGCTGTTACAGGTCATTGGCCCCACGCGAGTCTAAGCAACAGCAAGTGTGTTAGCGCTAATAGTATCAACACCTTACAACATACTGCATCACCTGTTTGATTGAGTACAGCATGCCAGTTTAATGGCGAGAAATCGTGGTCTCAGAGATATCCACGTCAAAGTCTTCTCGCGCCAGCAACCTTAAAGTACCGAGCGTGTACGTGAAGCACTCTTCCATCCAGAGCTCGAGAGCCTCCCGAATCTCTGGCGTGACCTTAGCAGCTCTTGCCCCTCCACGAGGAAGGTTCTCAGCCCGCCCGTGGTCTACCAGATATATGGCGGTGGTGCGAGGGAACCCGTTGTAGCGAGCGATCACGCGCCAGTCTTGGCCGTTGTTGAAGGCCTCGAGGACCCGGCGGTGCTCCTCGGGCGGGTGGCGCTTGAGCGTGGACTGGGAAGGCATCTACGCAATGCTCGGTAGAATTGAGAGTGAAGATTAAGACGCGCCACACGCATAAGCTTGGGCGACCCGTCGGAATCTCGTCGGCAGTGACAACTTTGAATGTTAATTAGTCGATATTGAATGGGAAAAAGGGTGGTACTGCTTATTTCGGGTACCTCGCTCCGGCTAAAAATGAACCAAAATTAAAGCTGCCGACGTTGGATGTTGAATGAGCCAACTACGGGCGGGCAAAGGTGTAGTGCTCGTGGTGGCGACCGCCGCGACATCAATACTGTAGTTACGCTCGATCTCGTACATGACCGTGTTGTTCTCGAAGAAATACTTGTAGGAGTAGCTTCTGAGCGTGTTGATCGAGGTGAGCCCCGCCGTGGTCGTGACGGTTTGATGGCGCTGTACGTGTCCGTCTTGCTGACGACGTACCAAGTACATGCTTCATTTTCTTACGTGGTGGCTGAGCTTGCGGGTCGGGTCTAGTTCTTGCTGGAGGGGTAGCCAGACGGTTCGCGTCTGTATCTCTATCGCTCGCCATGGCATCCGTGATGTTCTTGTCGGCATCTCCTGCAAAATTGAAGAATGGGTCTACGTCCCGATGAGTTAAGCTCATGTTGTTGACACAGTGCCAATAAGTGCAGAACGAGCACTACTGTGGGCACAGAGTGGGCTTGCCAAGATCGCTTTAGAAGTGGGAGCCATACGCATCGTAAATATGGCAGTTAGCAGATTGGCAGGTTAATTATGTGCTTTTTCGCATAGTTTCGAGCAATAACACTACGAGAAACCCATGGGTGTTGGCGAGGTGCAACGCGACATCGAGTGCAAAAATCGGACGTCCGGCGTCGTCGACGTCGAATCGGTGCCAAGGGTCGCGAAGTCGACAGCGCCACAAGTTGTGGCGCAACCAGCTCTTTCTGAGGGTTCGAAGGTTCGCCCGCCCAAGATCAAGCTGTTTACTAGCTCCACTAAAAGTACCTTTCAGATGAGAACAGAGGAAACACGAAGCTAAAGGTGTGGAGAAATACGAAATCGTGCTGCTGGATTTGCATCCTAAGCGCTGGGAAGAAATGGCATCTGTCAGTCGAAGTAAGCGTCTCCCCCAGGTGCACGTGGACAGCCTTTTCTTTGGGTTTTACGACACGTTGGAGCATCTTGAGGATGAAGATCAACTGCGAATGTATCTTATGAATCCACATGCGGCGAAGGAGCTGAGCAGAGGTTTTGAATCCAATATTATTCTGGAAGCGTTTGGAAATCCTACCATGTCGATATACCTTAAATCGTCAAGGTTTGGAAAAGTGACAACTCTGCAAGTTGCCTTTGGGCTTCATCCTTGGGAGTTTTAGATTTGTGGCTGTCACATATCGCCGTTTTTACTAGAAAAATCCAGCGTCATGAGTGAAAGAGGTCGTGAAGCTGGAGACCAGAATGAATTGAACTTTCACGTACTGTACGCGATGGTGGCCGGTGTCAACGTCTTTTCCTTTTATGCGGTTGCTAGCGAAGGAGTTGCATCTCGATGGTGTAAAGTGCTCCGCGTTTACTGATCTCGGTCGCAGCGACCACAAGCTGGTAGAGCTTATGAGCAAAGAGGAAACGTGGAAAAAGGATGTGGAAAGATGGCAGCAGATTATTGATGGGCTAGATGAGCTAAGCGTATCCCCAGATGAGCAGAAGGCAATTTTTAAAGTGCTAAGTGCTGTTCTGTGGCTTGTAAATATTGAGCCTGACTATCATGGGACATCGGGGAAGCTTTTGATGTCTGCTACATGTACAGGGGTGCCTAAAGCACCTCAAAGAGTGGTGGAACTTTTAGAGTTGGGATCAGTGGAGAAATTGAAACGAATGATGATAACAAGACGTGTAAGTTTGCAATCGACGAGTGAAGCGTTCGAGATGACGCTGGAGCAGGGTCAGGTAAAGCATGTTCGAGACACACTCGCACATTTGTTATACCAGCTCGCGTTCGAGTACATCGTTACCGCTACGAACAAAGCAACAAAATGAGTGGTTCATGTTGTAACTGGCCAACTCAAATGATGACACAAAAAGGAGAAATCACGGTAGTGCCTCTGATGACGCTAGATAGGTACCCACTCCGTATGGATCGCGCAGATAAAACATCTAATTCATTCGTTGATTTTCCTGGAAACTAATAGGTTAACAGCCGCAAGACTCGACTTTCCTTTTTACTATGGCTTCAAACGATGATTCAGACTTTGAACAAGTGGAAGCTGAGCCTGCTCCAACGACTAAAAGTGGAGCAGTGGGGAAACGCGCGACAAGAACGAAGATAGACTTCAAATAGATCACTATTGAGCCCTTTGATGGATCAACCAAGGATGGATTCATAGACCCTGGCGCTTATGATTGGTTGGAGCGACGCAAAGTACAGATACACCTGGCAGAGACACACACGGAGCGAAAGCGGCCGGAAACGGTGAAGTGCGGTGTTCTTTCCTCCTGACTCACGGGTGAAGCTGGTACCTGGTACTACCGCAACAGCTCTGACCTTCCGAAGGACTCTTTCTGTGACCTCGCGAACAAGTTCATGGAGAACTTCCGGTGTAAGCTCCCGGTGCAGATGATTTATGCATTTGCACTACCAAGGCGTTGTTGACCTTGAAAGGAGTGGGCTAGTAAAAGGTCTGGAGATTATTGGCTCCAGAAAAATCCCCGACCATCCATGTGAAGACTGTACACGCGGCAAGCTATCCAGTCGCCCGGCACCTCGTCGAAGTACAGGATCTCAAGAAGGGAAGGATCTAGTTTGCCATGCAGACCTGGCAGGGAAGTACCTGCGAAGCATCCATGTGAACCACTACATGCTGGTAATCAAGTGGCTGAACTATACTCACGTGTACTTTATCATGAAAAGGATGAAGCTGTGGAGTGCTTTAGAAAGTTCCTACTTATGACTAAAACCGTGAAGCCGCAAGAAAAATCCGTGTTCTGCGAACGGACATTGGAGGGGACTTCATCAACGAGGAGTTTAATACTCTATGTGACGAAGCAGGCCTAGAACGACAATTTTCTGAGCCCGACATACACTACCAGAATGGTGTGGTGAAAAGAACGAACCGAACCCTCATCGAGGCGGCACGGACAATGCTGATCCAAGCTGGTTTACCCCACAACCTATGGGAGTAC